CCTGACCACTTCACCCCTTCAAGCCACTGAAACCACAGCAGACATTACTAGTGGAACAATGTGTTCTTTCTCCCAGAGCCTCTGGCTGGGCCTTACCGCAACCACCAGAATAACTCCCCAGTCCCCCACTAGCCTCTGTCTCCCAGCTCCTGTGAGAGATTCCACAGAGAGAGAAAAAAGGTTTCCAAGCAGAATCAGGTCTCAGACTCGAGAGGCACCAGAAACAAACCCCCTAGAACTGTGGAGAACAACCGGAGTTGCCCCCGCTGTGGCACCCCAGGCCAGACCCTTGAAATGTCAGGAGCCCTCCCCAACGGTCTGAAGGAGCAAAGACCTGCGACTGTGAGAAAATAAAAGATGAGAGTCTGGACCAGAGTTCAGAAAGGGCACAACTGGCACAGTCTGGGGACCTGAACCATACATGTGAGGCACTCGAAGCTTGCCAGGGACACAGCCACCTGAACAGGGAAGCCACCTGAACCTTGGACACAGAGCAGCCCCTGAATCCACTCCTGCATGGGATCCCTGGTGCTGGCGGGCCTCAGCCACCTGCACAGTGCCACCTCTGTCTCAAGAATTGCCCGCCTTCGGGGACTTGCTTCTCAGAAGGGAAAGAACCTCACACAGACATACACGTACATCGTATACACGTCACCCACGCCGTGCACACACACACAGCATGCACACACACACAGTACAGCACACCGCGCATGTGTCAGGGACACTGCATATCACGTAGGATACCACGTACCATGTATACATCACACACACCATACGCATGACATCCGTAAACCACACCTCACACACAACACACGAGTACCTCATTTAGCCCACACTGTTAGGAAATAACATATCCCAAGCAATAGAACATTGAGAACCGGTTCGTACAAAAATCTTTGATCATCATGCTGGAAAATTTTCTGAAATGAATGACACAGCTCCCTAACCCACCACGCCTGTACGCTGAGTGTAATTTATAATCTCCCCATGGTTCAGGGACATGTTTTGCAGCTGTCTTTACCACAGGACCTAATGATGTGTCCTCCACTTCAGGCTGCTTTCCTGCTTATTCAAACTGCCCTGTCCAAGGACACTGGCATGCACCCTGCGCAGCCGGCGGCCAGGCCTTGACTGTCTGGAACACTTTCTCTCCAGATGCCTGTGAAGCTCACTCTTTCCATTCAGCTCCTGACTCAATGCCAGCTCCTCAGAGAGCCCTTCCTGGACAGCCTTCTCCCATTTTTCTGTCCCTTTATTTTGCCTTTTGCTTTCACAGTACTTGCCACCTCCTAATGAATTAAGTCTATTTCCTCCCTCCACGGGGATGCTAGCTTGTTCCAGGTCTACTTGTTTGGTTATCTCCAGTGCCTGTGACAATCCTGGCACATAGAAGGTGCTCAGGAAATTCATAAACGGCGCCTTCAGCATTCTGATCTGTGTGCGTGCTGGTGGGAGAGAGGTTACACTTACCTCACTTGCCCCTTCTTGGCCCAGTCCTTCGCTGTGACCTTTCAGTGCATCCAGCAGCCCCTAGCAATTGCCCCCTCTTGTTTTGTCTCATCTGCTGTGTTTGTAACCAAGGAAAAGATGATGGTAGCCAGACGACCATCTAGTGAGCTACTTCAACTGAACACAGTTAATTTTCAGGCTTGGCCTCAGGGCAATGCCAAGCCTGTCTTCTGCTATCTGTGTCCTGCACGGGGCCTTTGTGCCTTCCTTCTGGCCTGGGTGCCCCCTAGATGTGTGCATGGATACTTTCAGCCTCTAGGTGAGAAGGGTGGGTGAGAAGAGAATGCAACACATTCAAGCATTGCTAAACCCAAAGCGTCTGGCTTTTCATTCACCTCACCCTCTGGGCTTATTCTCCTTAGGCCAAGCACAGTGAGGCCTGGAGCTCTGGCTGAGGGCCACCTCACTTTTGTAGGGCTAGCTCCACAAAGTCAAATATGGTTTGAAGAAGCGGGATATGGCACACGCCTATAATCCCAGCACGTGGGGAGGCTGAGGCAGAAGGATCCCAAGTCCAAGGCCAGCCTGAGCAACTTAGACCCTTAGCAAGACTGTGTCTCAAAATAGAATTTTTAAAATGGCTGGGGTGTAGTTCAATGTGAAGGTCCTGCATTCAATCCCTAGTACTACCAAAATTTTAAAAAAGTTTGAGCTGGGTTCTGCAGCTTAGCCCTCATCTGACAGATGTGAAACCAATAGAGGAGACTCATGTAAAGTGCTCACACAGCAGGTCATTCACATCCTCTCTGTACCCACCGGCGCCCACCTTCCTCACAGCTAGCACCTGTTTCCATCCTGGCCAGGGGAATCAATCCCACAGGCAGGTCTCACAAGTCTGTGACACTGAGAGGTGTGCCCCTCTGAGCTCTGAGACAATGGGGTCCCTATCACATGGAGCCATCCCCCGTTACAGCAGCAGGAGAGAGAGAGCTGGTGCCCTGGAGCTCAATGCAAAGCTTTTCCTCACAGGCCCAGAAAAGTGGAGAGTCTGTTCTTGAGGTAGACTTGCCTCATAGTGTAACTGGCAGGGTTCCTCACGTCCCCAAAATATCCCCAGCCTCCCACTCCTACCTGGTCTGAAACATTCACAACTGTTCTCTGGGTGGCTGTGCTGCCTCCACCACACACTGTTCTAGGGAGCAGCTGAAATCTAGGGGGGCAGGAAGACAGGCAGGCCTGGGTGGCTCTGCCATCAGTGCCGCCCTGGAAAGGAAGGGTTAGGGCCTCGGGCAAGAGGACAGGCAAGTGGCCAGCCGTACCTGGGCTGGATCAGGGACACAGAAGAGGTGGGGCAGAGGAAGGTGGGACTCCACTGGTCAGAAACACTTCTGTAGAACCAGTCTGAGAGGCAAGGAAAGTGCTGACCACCAGTGCCTCCCACTGTACAGGTCTGCGCCTCTCTCCGTCCTTGCCTGGAGAAGGTACTGCAGCAGTTAAAGGCTTATTTTCCTCACCTCCCCGCAGGGCTCAGTGTGCTGGGCCAGGCTGGCCCTGCTTCCCAGGATGAGAGTCTCCTGCTGTGCAATAATTAGCCCCTATTTCAGAACAGCAAGTCTTTTTCTCTCCCGCACCTGCTGCTGCGGACAGCCTTGGAGAGACACCCTTGTGGTCTTTAAGCCACTGCAATGTCAGATGCTCCTGCAAGGAAATTTTCCTTCTGCTGCAGGGAAATCTCTCTCCCTGGAACTTTTACCTATTGGTCCAGTCTATTCCTTGGAACCCCACAGAGTAATTCAAATCAGCCTCTTGCCTTCTCTGTTGGCTCTATGCTAAGGACTGATGGGGGATTAGGAAGTTGTGGGGTGCAGATAAGTTTATACTTTGAGGGGTCAAGAGTAATTCTAATTGAGTCATCAAATGTTTAAAATAATTACCTTTATTGGTTTTATCACTATAATGTTGTTATTGGTTTTATCATTATAATGTTAATAGATGCTTATTACAAAATGTTGAGGGAAAAGAAATGGAAGAGGGTATTGCCCATAATCCTACTTCTCTACTGCTAACATTTTGTTCTGTATGGTTTTTTTTCATCTCCACTTTGCTAAAAAAAAATTTTTTTCCCAGCACTGAGGATGGAACCCAGGGCCTTGCATATACTGGACAAGCACTCTGCCACTGAGCTCCACCCCAGTCTTCTCTGACAAGTGTTTATGGAGTGAACACAAGCAAAGTGCTGGTCTAGGGACATCAGGAAAGACACAGTGATACCACTGTCCCCTGGAATTCAAAGGAAACTCCTTCTAGGACCCACACTCAGGATACCAAAATCCACTGATACACAAGTCTCTTATATAAAATAGCAAGGAGTCTGCCTACAACCCACCTCCATCCTCTCATATACTCCAACGTGTGTCCAGGTTACTTATAATGACTAGGATAACGTAAATACACGTAAATAGTTGATCCACTGTATTATTTAGGGAATGAGATCAAGAAAGAAAGTCTGTTAATGTTCAAGATAGATGCAGTTTTCTTCCCATTATTTTTAATCCAACGCTGAATCCCAGAGGTGGTGCCTGCAGAGATGGAAGACCAATGGTCCATCAGACTTGGACCTTGCCCTGAAGATGTTCCAGGAAAAGAAGGCATGAGTTGGCTTTAAGAGTTACAAGCACCAGGGCTGGGAATTTAGCTCAGTGGTGCCACCGTTTGCCTTGCAAGCGCAAGTACCCGAGTTCGATCCCCAGTAGAAAAAAACAAAACAAAAAGAGTTACAAGCACCTAAACACTGTGGGAATCAATATGGAGATACCTCAAACAACTAGGATTAGAAGTTCCATTTGATCCAGCTATTCCTCTGCTGGGCATCTTCACAAAAGAATTAAAGGAATCACAACACAGCGATATATGTGCACCCATGTTTATAGCAGCACAGTTTGTAACAACTGAAACTTGGAAACAGCCCAGTTGCCCATCAACTGGAGACTGGATAAAGAAGATGTGAGTTTTAAATAAGATGGAGTACTACTCAGCCATAAAGAATGAGAAACTAGAGACATTTATAGCTAAGTGGATGCACACTGAGGCCATATTCCTTTTTTTTTTTTTTTTTTTGCAGTACCAGGGATCAAAATCCGGACCTTGCTCTTGCAAGGAAGTCATGGTGCCACTGAGCTAAATCCCCGGCCCCAAGGCTATATTCTTAAGTGAAATTAATAATTCTCACATGTGTAAATACCAAATAGTTTCTCTAATGTAAAAAACTAAAAGTGTAAATAAGGATCAAAATGTATAATTGATATTGTGAAATAGGAAGAAAATATCTAAAGGAGTAGGGGAAGTGGGAGGGACAGGGGAAAGGAAATAAGGGAAAAGAAAAAATATGAGAAAAGGAAAAACATGAAAACAAAGTCTTTGTAAATAGAAAAGGTGGAGGGGGATGGAGGGAGGGCAGGGAAACGGGGAAAAATACAAACCAAGATGCATCATGTAAAGGTACAAGAGCCTAACGATGAATGTAACCGTACTGTATACCTAAAATGTACCAATAAACTTCATGGGAAAAAAAAAAGAGTTACAAGCATCTAGATTCAAACATACTCAGTTTATTCATGTGTTAACTGGACCTAACAGTGGTACCCAGATCATTAGGTCGTTGGAGGGATTCAAAGAGGTAAAGCTTGTAAATTACTTACACACCATCAAAGTATCCAATGAACGAAGCCACCACAAATACAGTACAGAGTAGATGGTTATTACAAATGCTGGACAAGAACAGATGATCAAAGGTCACAGGCATTCAGAAGGAAAGACTAAGCCACTTGAAACCCTTTTCAGAGAGGGCCATACGCAGACTACGACTGTACCAGGCCCATGCACTGTTTGATTAAGTGAACCAAATTTAGTGCTTGAGTGTAATCACTGCTAGCCTCTTGTCTGCAAGCTTGGCGCCCCTGCTCCTTGTCAAGAGACTCGGGGATTGCATCAGTTTAACCTCCGTGTGTCTTTGCCCTGCTGGTTATGGAGAAGGTGCCTCCGGTCTTCACAAAAAGCAGGCAGATTATAAGTCTTCACTCTTGTAACTGTAATGAACTGCTTGGCCATGGGCTCCCCTCTGACCCCGGGGTGATTTCCTCCATTATAGCAAGACATTTCCCCGGGGAGCTTGGCCTGGCCTTGACAGAGGTGTCCCCTCAACACCCTCCTTCAGTGGTATTTGTAGACCAGAGGGCTTCCTCTGCTTGCTGAGCTGAGAGACACAGCCACCACACAAGGAAGTCATGCTTCCCCAGGAGGCCGGTGGGGGGATTGCTGTTAGGAGAGAAGTAATAGGCCTACCAGAGGAAGGAGCAGCGCGTTCAAACTAATCCTCTGCCCTTGGGCCTCTGGACTTCAAGAAAGGAGATTTCTAGGCTGTTCGTGCCCCCACCAAGCTCTGGGTCCTGTAGGCTGTCCTTGTGCCCTCTGCGCAGGTCTCACAATGGCCCGGAAATACACTCCATTGCGGGAAATCGGGCCCTTTAAATCTGAACATATTGGCAAAGGGAATTGTGGGTGCTTGTGCTTCTCGCTCCCCACCCTCTTTCATGCTTGTGCTACCCAGACAAATTAAATACAAAATCATTTTCTGTCGTTTATGCAAATCATACTTCTACAGCTCCGAAATGCTCACATTATAAATTAAATATATAAACTCACCCAGAACTTATTGCATCCTCTGCTCTTGGAAAACAGTGCCAGAAAAAGCCATCCTCAGTGATTGTCCTCATTAGGTAAGTAGGGATCCAGGCAAGGCCTGAAGGGTCACTGCAAGATCTTCTGGTAGGAAATTGTATAACTGACAAATGTGAAATAGGAAGAAAAGGGCTAAAGGTGTAGGGGAAGTGCAAAGGGGTAGGGGAAAGGAAATAAGGGGAAAGAAAAAATATGAGAAAAGGAAAAAATGGAAACATATTCTTTGTAAATAGGGAAAGAGGAGGGGGTAAAGACAGGGTAGGAATATGGGGAAAAAATGAGAACCAAGACCGGTCATGTAAAGGTACCAGAGCCCAATGATGAATGTAACTGTACTGTGTACCTAAAATGTACCAATAAACTCAATGAGAAAGAAAAAAGATCTGGCAGGCACATGTCCCTCAATAGGTGAAATCTCACAGCACCCCACAGGAGAGCTTCCTTAAAGCCATTTACTTATTCTAGAAAGCAAACTATCATTGGTTTGACAAAGCACCAATGACTTTGTCAATCATTCAACTGAAATTTAACATAGAGATTAACCGAGGTCCAGAGATGGCAAATATTTTGTCCATGTCACTTAGCAGTATCTCACTTTCAGGATAAGAAACTCCCATCGAGGAAAACTCCTGCCTAAATCTTTCGTGGTTTTAAATAGGAAACTGTTGTTGCAAATTAGTACATCTATGCTGACAACACCCATCATGGGGAGTCTCTTTTAATAATGTAAAGTGAAATTCCGTGCAACACCTTGGCTTCCCACCCATGCCTGTTAAAGAACTGGCATATGGAAAACCTAAGACCCAAATCAAAACAACCACAAAAGTTCTCCCCCACTGGGAGGCTCAGATTTCAGCCATGTCTGCTCCACCTCCTGCAAAGTAAGTGGCTGTCCTGTGCCAGTGGACATCAGAATAGATCCAAGGGGCTAACCACAAAAGTTCTCCCCCACTGGGAGGCTCAGATTTCAGCCATGTCTGCTCCACCTCCTGCACAAGTAAGTGGCCGTCCTGTGCCAGTGGACATCAGAATAGATCCAAGGGGATGTCCCCAGAGGCACTGCCTGGCCCTTCAGGTACAGCATGGAAAAGTCAAAGACCTTGCCACATCACAAGCCGCCAGATAGGGATGGAATCTCCCTTTAGTTTCACAGGTTTTGTAACCAAATTTTTCACACTGATATTTGTAATACAAGGACTATCAGTAGAGCAGATAGTAAAACTGAGGACCTCCCTGAGAAGCTGAGCCATTTGGTTACAATCCTAAACAGGGTCTCAAAGGTCCAGGAGCAACATGGCTGGCTTTGAATAACCCAACAGTGTGAACACAGAGCCGCCTCCAGGTCCAGCTTTCATGCAGCCCCTCCCATTCCCAGCTCTCTGATGTCCCAGGGGGCAAGTGATGATGACGCCTGTCTGAATTTGCTCAGCCTCTGACAGCAGGGCTGGCCACCTCATTCTCCAAGAATCTGAAAACCCACACATAATGTCTTGGCCCAAGCAGACAGAGCAATGTTTTAGAAAGGAGAGGGTAGTGAGCGGCTACCACAGATTTCAGAGAGATTGCAAATGCTCAGGGCACCTGCTCCTTTTAGGGTGAACAAAGGGCTGGAGTCCAGGAGATGACTGAGTGTGCTTTCTTCATCTCCTTACCTGGTCAGGGCAGAGCTGCAAATAACTATCAAGGGGATCCAAAGCTTGGCCCATTAACTACTCCCAGAAATGGGCAAGAATCCTACTGCACTCCTTTATAAAAAGAAGTACTTACTAAGCTTGCTTGCTGTGTGCATCAATGTGGGGATGCAAGGAGCTTCCAACAAAGTCCCCGCATGCATAGCTGAGAATTAGAGGGAAGTGAATCAACTCAAAGATAAGAATAAATGCAAGGCAATGGCAAGGGCAATGTATGACCAGGATCGGTGCTGAGGAGCAGACATCCAAGGCGAAAGCTAAAGACAGAAGAGGAGCTGGCCGTGTACCTCAGTGGGTGGAGAAGGCCCTTGCCACTCCATCCCTGGGGATTCCATCCTTCCTTTCTTCATGCACCTTCTCTTCCCAGCTCCTACGCTGTCCAAGATTCTCCTTCATGCTTGAAGTTTAGCCCCTGTTTGATCTGCCATGGGAATCAGTAGGGGCAAGAGGATGTTCACTAGCATGTCCTGCCACAACTTCCAATTTCCACTTCTTGAAATTAGCGCTGTATCACCCCAACAGTGCTCAACAAACACACACACACACACACACACACACACACACACACACACACACACACACACACACATACACACAAAACCTGTGGGCTCTCATCTAGAAGGAGCAGGACAGAGAGGCCCCATCAAGGTCTGGTTCAGGAACAAGTTTCCCAGCACCCTCTCTCTTCTCCTCCCTGCCCTCCTTCAGCCTCCTTCCCCTTCCAGCTAAGAACCACCTCCCATCTCATCACCAGAGACAGGGACAGAGCATCTGGCCAGCCTGCCTCTACCCTGCCAAGTCCAGGCCCAGGCCCAGCGCTAGTCCTCTCTTCCAGTGAGAAGGGAGGCAGCTGGGACTCCTGGTGTGCCCAGGCTCCATGGGCGTGGCCCTGTTGGCTTGACTGGTTCCTACTCCAGCAGGATCTCAGGACTCTGGGGTCTTAGCCTTCTTTCTGTCCAAACACTGACAAGTGCTTTGGGAACAGTGTCCTAGGAACAGGGCCACAGCCCAGAAGGAAACACCTAATCAGCATACTTCCAAATTCGTCCAGACTGGGATCTCCCAGAACCCCAAATCCCCTCAGGCCAGGCCCAGAAATAATGGTTCCTTGGCAGAGGATTTTTACTTCTTCCCAGGTGGGTAATGAGAGTAGAATCTGGGGCAGGATGGGAATACGACAGTTCGTCCACACAAACCATCCCCGTATTCCTGGGGTTCAAAGCAGCCTTGGAACAAGAGTCCTGCCCTTCTGATCCAGTACCTCCCCACAGGGTTCCTCACCCCTCCCCCAGGCCCAGATCTTTCTACGTCAAAAACGCACCCTCCCCCGCCTCACTTCTTGTCCTCTTCCAGCCAGGCTGCCCCGGTCCAGCAGTCAGTCCCCAGGGTTACCCCAAACTCTCACTCACCACCCCCCACCGTCGTCGGAAGAAAGCACGGCACGGAGGGCACTCTCGCCAGATCCCAGAGTCTCCAGCCTCAACAGGTGCCCTGCTTGGCTACAGGGAGCTGTCACAGGAGCCCGGGCAAAGGCGGCGGCAGGAACGCCCTCTGCAGGGAGGTTGGGTCTTCGCAGCCTTCTCCCGAGTCCCCAGAGCTCCGAGGGCCCCCGCAGCTCCGCCGAGGCCCCCCAACATGTCACACTGCCTTTGTTCCCGGCTCGCCAGGACAATGCGGGTGGACTTCATGCTAAGGCATCACACAGCCTAGTACGGACGCTGCCCACTCACTTGAGGTGCTGGACACTACTGTTGAGGATGAGGGACGCATACAGAAGACCTTGCCCCAAGCCAACCGATGCCCGGGGGTGTCAATGAAGGAGAAACAAGTCCAAGTTGACCCGGGCTAAGAAGAGAGCGCTAAACCGGGAGCGGTGCGTAGCGACCCTGCCCTCCCCACGCCCCAACCCAACGTCCTTTACCCTCCGGGAGGCTGGAGACCCGCTGCGCACCACCACCTACGCGCTCAGTAGCGCGGCTCCCACCACGCTCCGGTTGCGCACCGGGCCAAGCGCCGCAGCCCCCA